GTGTGTGAGAGAGAGAGAGAGAGAGAGAGAGAGAGAGAGATATAGAGAGAGAGAGAGATGAAAATACCCAAAATGGGGGGAGGTTGGGTTTGCAACCACAATCACCAAGATCCCCATTAATGGGATAGTCTAAGCACATGGATTATAAAGGTAGTGGGAGAAGCTGATGTTTACACTTGAGCACATCCTGTCACAATCTTGGAAAAAAGAATAGTTGGAACAGTTCCATCTTTTTTCTCTATGATTCTTCTTTTTTTTTATTATTGTTCTTTCCAATGCTTCTTCATCTAATAGTGGGGGCTTTTGGATTCAATATGCAATAAATTATGTCCTCTTATCTTTAGCCTTACTCCAACCTATCACCCACCAAATCCATCCATCTAAAGTAGAGTCATGGCAGGGTCATTCAAATTCCCACATAAAGGAAATTCAGTGTGTGTGTGGTTTTGTTTTGTTTGTTTTTTTTTTTTTTTTTTTTGGGTGAATGGTTTATTTATGCTCTCTTTCTTTTTGGGAGTTGTGGATTCTTATCTTCAGCCCCAATGTGTCTTCCTAAACACAATTAGAGTACCTTCACATAGTAGGAAGAGATTTCAAGCAATTAGATAGTGCTAAATATAGTATTTTCCTTTTATGAGAGTGCATGCCTAAAATTCTTCAAATTTGACTAGGATTTCACCAAGGTCAATCCATTGATTCATACGAAGTCACTTGTAAATTAGGAGGACATTACTAATTCAGCAAAGTGTTTAATTTTTTGACGCCATTATAAACCTTAAATTTTGATAGTATTTAATTAGTATTATCTCTGTCTTATATTAGATGTTCATCTTGAAAACTCTGACTCACAATTATTTTACCATTTTCAATCTCCAATTTTTGATAATATTTAACTAGTAATATTTAATCATCTTTTAAGATAAAAAGTTAAGTTGTAATTTTTTATTTATTATTATTATTTACTTGTCTGTGAATATACAATGTTTGTGACTCACCGACATGGAAATGGGGGTACTTTGGAGCCATCATAAACCTAAGTTGACTGGTTGAGGTCTCCCAATATATACATGTGGGGTCATTTTGAAAAGGTGAATGTGTTTATTATGAGAGAGGGAAAAAAAATTAGAATAATAATAAAAAAAATCAATTCGAAGATGATGGAATGGTACATGAGTGCCCCCTTTCACAAGGGAAGATAGTTGAGGGTACCCATCATGGGGCCCACACTACTTTGATTGCATCCATATTCCATGCTTTGTAATGTCCAATCCCTTCGTCTGCCCCGACCCCCACCCCAACTTGATTTTGGAATATATGGATTTGTACCACCAAAGATGACCCCCTCATGTGACACTCATTACTATTTCTCTCTAGTATGCCTCGTACCCTAAACATAATAAATAAAGATAGAAAGGGCACAAGCATGGGCCTAGATGCTTTGTGGTGTTTACTTTTATGTCCTCAGAAAAACAAAATTAAAAAAAAAAAAAAAAGCAAAAGAAAATAAACCATTGGGTCGAGTGTCAATGTCTTTGTTGTCGGCACATCGTTGGATGACTAGAGTACGTGGTGTGTACGTGACGATGAGTTTTGATTATGCTCGTAAATACATGGTGGGGGCATTTAATGACCCACATGAAAATTGACATGGATTTGTGATTCTATGCAAGGGGACCAAGGAAAAGAAGTTGGGTTGGTTTATTCACAGATATGCCTTTCTCATATTTAATCAAGGGATGGTGACATTGGATTGTGAGTGTCGTTGGTTGGCTTTCTTTGGCATTTATTAAATGTGTGTTTGGAGTGTGATGATTTTGGTAAAGAAAAAGCTAATTCTTTTTTTTCAATAAAAAAATAGAAAAAAGAGGGATGGGGATTCCAATGTGCAATGCACCACTCAACCAAAACACACCATGATATGTGCCTGTTGACAAATAAGTACTTGATTACCCTTTTGACAATCCCAATTATCTCCCAAAGATACCATTTTTTAAACAAAAGCTTATTATTATAAAATCTAGATTAAAATATATTATTAAATGTTACATGGTTGTGATCGAATAAATCCTTCGTACAAAGTGGGGGGACCACCACAATTAGTGTATAAACGAGACAATGCTTAATCGGTGTTTTCCACAAATGACTTGCATAATTACAATCCAATCATGTAGTATATATATGTGTTTTTTCTTTCCCTTTAGTTTAGTCATGGTAGGTTGTCCATAAACAGTAAATCAGTCTTTTGTTTCACTTTTTTTTTTAATCATAAAAATGTTAAGGGTTAGTGTTTAGTTGTTAGAAGGTTTAGTAATGCAAGGCTCGAATACGGGCTCCTAAATACGGAGATCAACTCAATCACTTAGGCAACACAATATTTACTACTTCACATTTTGATTTTGATTTATTTTTTTGCAGAATGTGTCTGCTAGTGAATTAAGAGGTGCCCTAATTGATCCGTTACCATCATAGCAAAAATAAAAATATGTGTTTTATGAAAACGAGACCTATATATATATATATATATTATTGAGAATATTATTGTTACTGGTAGAATATTATTGAAATTGGCAAGAAATGAAATGTAAACAACGATGGTTTCTTGACAACAATGTAAGTTTCAGTTTTCTCAAACCTAATTAATAATAATAATAATAATAATAATAATAATTGGGACAGAATTATTGGCAATTTGGTCAAAATTAGAGCTAAGCATAGGTGATTTGATTTAACAGATTGCCGTCCATTATTGCATGTGGATCGCGTATGATGTTAATTGACGGTGATTACAAACCCATATCAATTACTATAAAAACAAAATTAAATTATCTCTAATCTCTATCTCTAATCAAAGTTGAAAAATGTAGAAGAGTAGAGGAACATGCAATATTTATTGCTAACCAACAAAAATAGGTAGTAGGATCACATAAATCTCATGGCTTTCCATGCCTTTATGTCTTGTTTGACTTATATTTTTCTAGCAAAAATATTTTAAAATTTATTGAAAGAATAAATAATATCTTATAGATAACTAACTACTACGTATAATACAATATAGTTCTTGATCATCAAATCAAATGGGGTATTTCTTTAGCTTTGTTTTCATAGAAAGTTTCAAACAATTTTTATTTTTTTCTGTGAAAACAAAATACGAGTTAAAATATATATATATATATATATATATATATATAAAAGTACTCCGTTGTATGCCTTGTGTCATGACTCCTGCCACTCACACCAGCAAAGCAAATGACATGGTAGTACATGGTGACTTGCCCATCACGTGAGACCCACCCCAATTTCTTGAACTGCCCACACAGTCACAGTCCACATTTCCAGTAAAAAAATAAAAACAAATAAAAAAAACCTACAATTTTTAACAGTTTGGTGAAATAAAAATGATATATTATTATTATTCACTTTACTCCTGATTTGGTGTCAAAAAAGTAGTACTTTTCTGACATTGACAGGCCCCCACTAATCCACCATCAATCAATTTCAAAGGGGGACCGTTTCCTTTGAAAACCGCACAACTGCATCCCTTCCAAACTTGGCCCCAACCTTTGCCCACGCTTTTACCACTCCCCCTATTCTCTTTTCCTCTTTTAACCCCCCCACCCCCCACATCATCTATATATATTATTTTTATTACAGTATAACATATAGTCTAATCCTTAGTACTCTCATGTAACGGTAAAGATTATTTCTTTGTATTTTGTGGGTTACAAATTTGAAATGAAAAATAATTCTAAGTGAAGATAATGATGCATACATAAGACCTTTTTCGAAAGTCTAAGATAAGCTTATCGTAAACTCTTATACGCACTAATGTCATTTTTAGGAGTAAATCACACTAATAAGAGGTACCACTTAAATTATCCTTTTTACTGCAACAAAGATATATATGTTTGATCTAATAATCTCAGCATTTTATGGAAAAGGAGGCCCGTGTGTTAAATGATGTGGACTCCATGAAACCAACTAGACCTGTGAATGACTTTCATCAAACAAACCATCATGCTATCCTACGCTGTTCTTTATATGCAGATCATAGGTAAGATATTTCAGAGGAGGATGATGATGATGCCTGCTTCACGTTTTTGTCCTCTCCCTTTCCTTTTTTTAGACCACATAATACCATTTACTGACTCCGTCTAAAATACGCAATGATGCGGAAAATACGTTACACGGACTTTTTAACTCTCTCTCTCTACCCCAGTTTTGGCGGGACTCCACAACTACCGATCCTCACGTCCGTTCTGAACTGTAAAGCCGTGCGCCCTGGTGCGCACTGCACACTGAGGTGGTGGGGTTAGTGCTGTGTTTGGGTTAAAAAAATAATAACAATAAAAATAAATAAAAAAAGTGGTTACCCTCTGACCAAACAGCGACATTTGCGCGAGTCCAACGTGTCAGCCTCGCCCACTGTACGTATCTGCTTTCACGCTCTTCCAGGCGCGTTCTATCTATCTAATAATACCAATACGCTACGCCCCTTTGGCCTTTCTCATGAAATCCCAGAAAACAAGTAATCTGGTGGGACCCACCTAAAATGGTCCCCACTCTCAACACTCATATTCTCAACCCCATTACTGAGATTGCAAACATCGAACCACCTTTCTATAATGCCAATGCTAAATTACACTATAATTGGATATAACAAGCCTATATGCATTTCTATATATGTTAATAATAGATTCTTTTTTAAATTTATCAATTCGAATAAATATTTTAAATGAAACGTGATAATTTGTAATACACCTATCTTGTAATTAAACTCCATGTGAGATAGAAAGAAACAGAATTCATTTCCATCTGGATACTGATAAGACTAGTATATATCTATTAAAAAATATAATCTTCAATTTTTTTTTTCTCTATTTTTCGTTATGCATCTGCATTGTGACTATTTTTATAAACTAGTTAATAAGTATAATTATTTCGAATCGTATAAAACAAATAAAAAGAATAAACTACACAAATACAAAAACAAACAAACTCACTGGACGAAAATGGATACTGATTTTTCTTTTTCGTTTTTTTACTGAAAAATTTTGAATAATTTTTTTTCTTTTCCATTTTTTTCTTTTTTTTCTTTTTTCAAGAGGACAAGTTAACATGGACACTGGCGTTTTTGTTGGATTTACAGATAGGGCAAGTGTGGACCGACGACCCACAAACAGTACAGAGACAGAGATGCCTGCACGGCAACAGCAACACGCAAGACTCCTCCTTTCCGCAGCTCCTGCACCACCTTCTGCCGCCGCTGTTCGCGCCATCACAATCTCTCTTATCGTTCACCACCTTCCTCTCTCCTCCATTCCCTGCTAACGTGCACATCCGATCCTCCTCATCGTCGCCGTCGTTGACACCGCGATTACTGTCACAGCAAGATTGAGCATCGTCCGCCAGAGCAGCAGCAGCCTCGTCCAAACCAGCGCCGCGGTTGTGGTGGTGGTGGTGGTCGTCGACTTCGACCTGAGCCAGTACTTGCTCGAGGTTGCTCCGCAGAGCATTGGCGGTGGCTTCGTTGGACTGAGCCAATTCTCTCCATATCTGGTTTTCTACACACAGAGACTTCACTTTCTCTTCAAGCGCCCAATTCAATCTTCCGATCTTCTCTATCTCTTCTTCCTTCGCTCTCAATTTCTTCATTATCCCTTCCTCCACCGCCGCCATAATCTTTCTCGAATATCTCTTTCGCCGCTCTTCAATCTCCAATCTCACCTTCTCCGTCTACATATACAAATACACACACGAGCAGAAAAAATCAAACTCACATTCACAATAAACCAGAGACATAGATAGAATGAGAAAGAGAGATTGGCTAGACTCGTACATGTTGAGCGATGAAGCGATCGATCTCTAATTGCTGTAGTTGGATCTGTAACGAAATGTCTTCGCCGAGAAACGTATAAGAACCGGACCGGTTGTTGTAATTCTGATTCAGATTCTGATATGGATTGATTGAATCTCTTGGACGCTTTCTGGAGATCGGAAGATTGTAGGTGAGACCGCTTTCTGCTTTCGTTGCGGTGACCTTCGCCGGAACCGACTCGGTAATCGCAGAGCCATACATCGGAAGATGAGTCTCCGTCGTTGTTCCTGACAGCGGAGGCATTCCGTATCCGATTGGAGCGCTGTAGCCTTCAATGGCGCTCATCAGCTCGCTGTAGACAGATCCAAATACCAATATACAGCGTCAGACTAGAGAGAGAAAGTCAAGAAAGAAGATAGTGGAGGGAGGGAGGGAGGGAGGGAGGGAGAGAGGATGAATACACGTACCTGTTTGCTATGAGTTGAGGAGGAGGGAAGAGATTCAGATGCCGAGCTTCAACAGCCATGAAATTCAACCAGGTTTAACTTATTGATTCTCCCTCTATATATGTGTTCTTCGTTGAGTTTCTTGATTCTCTCTCTACTTTCGGTCTCTATATATTGCATACAGAACAGCGATGGAGGAAACGAATGAAGAAGAGCATGAAATGGAAATGGGTAGGCTGTATGGCGGGTTTTATTTAGGGCTTTTGTCTAGAGAGAGAAAAAGGTACTATAAATACGACTGCTTTAGGGGGAGAGAGAGAGAGAGAGAGAGATCTGTTTGTTTGTTTGTTTCGGTTTTGTCTATTTTTGAGATCCCGTTTACCAGAAAGGCCCTTCTGACCTGACTCCTATAGCGTAACCAACATAGATCTGGTCAGTCCGTAATTTTTGCGAAATTTTAGAGGCAATTACGGAAGAGTAGAACATTTTTATCCAAACTTTTTTTTATCTTTTAACTTTAAGCAGACAAATTAGGGATTTATTTTGCTTAACTGACAGTGGATGCATCGGACACGTATGCACCTTCAACCTGTGTGATAGTGTCCAACCCGAATTAAACTTGACAATTCAAATCAGATTTTAATCTTAATCAATATCACATTTTTGTGATATTTAATGCGATTTATACCGCAAAGAATTTAATTCACTAATTAATGTGTTTTAGACAATTCAATCCTAATCTTAAACTGACTTCTTTTATTATTATTCTTATCATTACAAAATGAGTGAATGATTGAAAAGTTCTCATTTTTGGTAAGTTAATTTAATGTCTCAAATTTAAATATATTAATCTAGAATAAAAATTAATATGATTAACTCCAATCTAGCCTGAGTTCAAAATCAACTCAACCAAGTTGCAAGTCAAATTAAGAGTTTCAACTTTTATCCTCCTTTAACGTTCAATTTAATATCTTGTTTTTTTTTTTCAGGTTAGGAGTTCGAATCTTTTTAACATTATCTTTCTGATTTTTTTTTTTAAATTTTTTTTAATTAATTATTTAGTACACTTGGGACTAATAGAACTACAAAATGAATTAACCCAAGTCGACTATCAGTCTATTACTCATTTATTTGTGAACTTAATTAATTCAAGATGGTAATAAACTAAAGATAACTGATAACTTCGCTTCGACTCTTTTAATAACAAAATTTGTTTGGGTTTGATTTGAATCCGTATTTATGATAGCTTTGGCTCATCTATGAAATTATACGAGTTTACACAGTGGAAAGATATGTGTTTTTATTAACTTTATTTATTTTAGTAATTAAATAATTAATTACATGCGAATAAAATAAAGTAAAGTATAAAGTTAAGGATGATACCAAGATTTTAGCGAGAAAATCCAGTTGATAAAATCCGTCAACTGTTATGGGAAAAAATCTCGTAAACGGTGCAGTCCAAAATAAACCAATCTACTATGCTTGAAATAAAGGAATTTTGACTCTGACTCACACCCTATCATTCTGGCTTTGCGACTGCTCGTGTAACAACAACTTGACCCAGACTTATACTTGATATTTGTAAAAGAGTAGCAGGTAGATTAGACAACACTCCTCGAATGCTTCAATCCTTTCAAAATGTGATCGCTTTTACTTATATTATTCAATCGTCTAAAATTGATGTAGAAGAAAATTTGTTTTCGTCTGATCGATGTATATGCAACTATATGATCATGATCAGAATTTGAATACCACAACTCTGAGTGAATATGTGTGTGTTCTAGGAAGATAACAAAAAAATTAACTTTGATTTTCTGAGGGAAATAAATTTCTTAAGGAAATAAATCCGTAAATAAACAAATTTGCAAAGTCCTATTCCTTCTAAAATAAAGGAAATTTTGTGTATAGGATTTGGAAGGAAAGTTAGATTAAAAATGAATCAGACAGAAGGAAATTGGAATCCTTTTGCAATCAGGATACTTGGAACCGGTTAGCTTCTGAAATGGACTAATGTTTTAAGTGGAAACGATATCCTAATGTGTTGTTCTTGCCTTTTTAGTGATCAATAATACTTTACTCTTCTGAACAAACTTCCAATTTCACAGTTAATGTCGAGTCTCATATGGTAACTAAAATTATAACTCGACTACAACTCGTTTTGTTACCTAAATATGCTAATCACAAAAATATAGCTCACAAATTCATGTTTATATAATATACTCGTGAACATTCATGAACCTATATAAAACTTACACAAATGTTCATAAGCCAAGCCTAACAGGATGACTACATGTGTCTAGTAAATGAATTAAAACCTAAAACCACCATCATCCGCCATAAGTAATTGAATAAATAAATAAAACCTTTTTTTTTTTAGTTAAAATAAATAAAACCTTACATGTGTTGTTTAAAACGAATGTTAACCGCACGTGCAACATGAAAGCACGTGTGAGCCTAATGTGCCATGGAAACACGTGGGACCCGGTGAGCGTGTAAAGAATAAGGGCAATGGCCGTTGGATGGGTAGGGTGTACCTTAACTTAACATCATCACACTTTTCATGTGGCAGCATCTTCATTAGAGGACAGGTTAATGCGTGATGGGCGCATGGGAACTGTTACCTAAGGTACGTGAAAGCGTTGCTGCCACGTGGTCAAATTTCTGTATAGGAATGCAAACAAATTTGTACCGGTTCACATCTCTCTTGTTTTTTCCCGCTCTCTTTTCCTTTCCTTTTCTAATCAATTACTTAAAACAAAATTACAAATATACTCCTCCAACTCTACCAATGTATTATTAGAAGTTTGTTTTTCCAACAATCCTTATAAAAAAATTTAATATGCAACTGTTGACTTATTTTAAGTTATATTACAATAGATATTATTTGTGAAAATAATATTATAAATTATATAGTAAGTAAAAAATTGAGTGTTAAGCTTCATCAAGTACAAAAATAAGAATGTGTGTTAGTTATTTAGGGTATATTTGGTTCAACTTTTTAGGAACAGTTTTCCTAGAAATAATAACTAGAAAATAGAAAGAATTTTTTTTTTTTTTTTGATTGACAATTTTTCTTAAATTTCAATTTTAAAAAAATATGTTTTCATATGACGGAGATTCTAAGTGATAAACCAAACAAATTCTTAGTTACCATAGTAAAAGCATATGGTTTGATGCTACTATGGGTCCGTTTGGCATGTGATATTATTTTTTTCATATTGATATTTAAATTTGATTCATATCATATCTGAAACTGCTAATATTGGTTTGAAATAATTCATAACATATCAGATTTTTTGGCCTAAACTCATATCACAAAATTGTTAATATTGTATGTTTTTGCATTATAGTGGAGGAAGTACACAAAATTTTGAATTTCTCAAAATAAATTTTTATTATTAAATATGATTTCGATTTTTACTCAAAACACTTCTATAACAAACATAACAGCTAAAACATATCAAATGCCAAATTCATCCTTAAATTATTTATGAAACCAATGTTTTATGGTCGCCCGTGTCTCAGTGTCCCATGCTGGTTGCTCATGACATTGTTTGACACCACTATCCTAAGCCGAAGAAGAATATGATTTATATGCTTTTGGCAACTTCTTTTTCTTTTTTTTATTTATTCCAAAAGTGTTCTATAAAACAAGCATTTGTCTCCCATTTCTCACTCTCAATCAAGCCCTTGAGGTGTGCTGTCACTGCTTCGAAATCATCATCGTACCGCAACTTGGATTTTCCTTTCTTATAATGTGAGGCAAAAGGACAAGTAGATGCACATTTTGTATCAGCTACAAATTTTACTGTAAGTGATGCTTCCAAGGCAACTTTCCCTAATTAAAATCTGAAAATTGCATGTACAACAATTGGTTGGAAACTACACTTCATAAAGTTAATTAGAATTTTGTTTTTGACTCCTTTCTTTCAAGATCAGTGTCCAACAATTTCGTTGGACTTACCCACACATGCCCCAAAAGTGAACGTGTATCCAAATAGACTCACCTTACATGACTCGAAAGTGTGAACGGTTAGGCCCCTCACAAAGGGGGTCGCACTGACCTGGTCTGAGTGATTATTTATCAAAAATATTAGTTTTCGCAAAGTCATAAGACCATGTATAGGGATTGACGTTTGCCTAGTGTCGGAAGGTCAAAGAAGTTGATGACCTGATGACAGAGAAGTCGGCGACCGAAGCCCCGGTGAACGGCGACCGTAACTATAACGGTCTTAAGGTAACGAAATTCCTTATCAGGTAAGTTTCGACCCGCACGAATGGTAGGCGTTTGTCTCATTTATTTAAAAGTTTAAATTGTTGGGTAATACTGTGCATTTTCACCCATTTATACTCCTTTCACTCTTCATCTGGATTCGATATGAGACAAGTACCCCTTGCACCCGAACTCGCAATGCCCTAATTGCGGTCGGCCATCCTGCCTACCCGGGTGGCTCACCTAGACACCTTCCGGACCGGGCGCTTGGTGTGACACTGGATTAATGATTAGGTCTGACTCTGATATCAACTGTAACGGGTGGATACTTGCCCATTTATTCAAAAACTTAAATTGTTGGGTAATACTGCATACCCACCAATTTTTATCTCCTTCACTCTCTATCCAAATCCAATGTGAGACAAATACCTTTTGTAACAATAAGAATGTGATGATATCAGATATCCCATATCGTTTGACAGAAGATAGTTTTCTTCGTTGGACAGAAGATAGTGAAAAACAGACAATATCTTCTAAGTGAGTCCTGTTGGAAATTTATATATATATATATAATAAAAATTATTTATGATCCTATGCACTACGTTTTCAAATAGGATTGTAATGTGATTATTGATAATTGATGGATTGGGTTGTACTTTCCAATTTGGTGGTCTAATTAGGAATATGGTTTTATACTGTTAGATTGTGATTTTTCAATTTATTTGGTATGATTTAATTCTAATCATTTATATCTAAGTTTCCATGATAGGAATGAAGACGTAGGTATGTTTATTTGTATAGAAGCCGTTCCCCCATGTTGTTGTTATATATAAGGGTTTTAGGCTTATCAAAGGACAACTATTAGAAGGGGGCAAAACATTCTAATGTTTGCAGGAACTCACAAATGATTATATGGATATTCTAAAGATATATATGCGTTGATCATCAATTAGGTACGAGACTAAATTATTTCTTTAATTAATTATAATATTCTTAATTTCTACATATAAATTATTTGATTAAAACCTAACAAGTCCAACCTGATGACCTAATGGTCAACTCATCCTTGGTTAGGCCGATAAGCTCCATTAAACAAGATAAATGCA